AAGCATTTTTGTCTGTAATATAATCAGACACTTTATAATAAGCATTCTTAATAAGAGTTTTTTTAATAGTCGATTTAAATTTAGTCAGGCTCAACTCTTGAATATTGCTTGGGACTTTATTGTAAAAGCGAACACAGAGGCCTCTAAACGAGTTATTAATTTTGTGGAGCCTAGTAGCAGGTAAAGTTAACTTATTTTTACTTCTAGTATTAAGTGTATGTATTTCACTATTTTTAGTAAATAAACTAATATTTTTTTTGACATATACTAAGTTTTCATATATGTATTGTGATGCAACCGTCATTATGCCTATTTCTTTAAACTTATTTCTTAAAGAGTCCTTAACTTTAAGATTATAAATTGATCGAATAGCCCGCTTCTGCAACACAAATATTGTTTGAATATCGGCGGCATTTCCCCACAGTAAAATACCGTAAGACATTACACTATGAAAATAACTAAAATAGACTAATCTGGCAGTTTCTATATCCGTTAACTGACGTATTTTCATTACAGCATATGCTGCAGAGCTAAGTCTCTTCGACAATTTATCAATATGTGGGCCCCATTGCAACTTTGAATCTAGTGTGATTCCTAAGAACACTGTGGTATCTACAAGGCTCACATTTCGATCCTTTATATTTACATTCGTTTTTACCTGTTTAACATTAGGTAAAACAAATTTCAAACACTTAGTTTTCCCTTCATTTAGCAGTAAATTATTAACGTTAAACCAGTGGACTACCTTAGAAATAGACTTGTTCACGTCGTCAATTTGCGACTGCCTACGTTTAATTTTAAACAAAAGTGAAGTGTCATCCGCAAACAATACTATTTCATGGTTATCCTTTACAAAATAAGGCAAATCATTGATATAAATTAAAAATAAGAAAGGACCAAGGATTGAGCCCTGCGGAACTCCCATCTTAACCGACGAACCAGGAGATTTTTCTCCATTGATGTCAACCCTCTGAACCCTATCACTCAAATATGATACAATAAGATCCAGAGTGGTGTCTCTAAATCCATAGTGCTGTAGTTTCCTGATCAATGTTTCATGAAAAACGCAATCGAATGCCTTTGATAAGTCGCAAAACACACCAAGTGCATCATGCGAGTTCTCCCAGGCATCAAAAATTTGCTGTACAAGCTCAACACCGGCATCGGTTGTTGAGCGACCCCTTGTGAAACCAAATTGTTTACTATGCAGAAAATTATTACTATAAAAATATGATTGCATTTGATCTAGCATAATCTTTTCAAAAATCTTACTAAAGGTGGGTAGCACGGATATGGGTCTAAAATTTGTGGGGTCAGATGTGCTACCCGATTTATGCAATGGAGTTATTTTACTATGTTTCATTAGATCAGGAAAAACACCACAGTCAACACATTGATTAAAAATGCTAGCCAGAATAGGAGCTATTGTCTCAATTACTGATCTAGAAACATCCACGGAGTTACCCCACAGATCCGCGGTTTTCTTTTTATTCAATTGGTTAAAATATTTGATTATGTCTTTAGAGTTAACATATTTAAATTTAAATTGACTAGTACCTTGTGTTATGTTTTCTTTTAATATTGATTCAGCAGCAATGGGGGAGGAGTCCAAGGATTTTGTAGTTGAAACTGGAATATCAGTAAAAAAATTCTCAAATGCTGTAGCAACTTCAGTATCTGATGTAACATTTCTATTTTCAATGTTTAAATTAAAGCTGGTATTTCGAGATTTAGATTTTCCAGTTTCATTGTTTATAATGTTCCATGTCATTTTAATTTTGTCATTACTATTCTTAATCTTACAACTTAAATAATTTGATTTAGCTGTGCGACATACCTTTTTAAATAACTTAGAATAATTACGTACATACTCTCTGAATCTTTCAGTAGTATTAATGCTGCGTTCATTGTATAGTTCATAAAGTTTTCTTCTACTGTTATGTATGCCTGGGGTGGCCCACTCACTGAAGGTTACTGCATCACTAACACATATGGTTTTGGGAACGAAGACGTCATTAAATTCTTTACAAAATATATTAAAAAAATCATTATACAACTCATTTGGACTGTCTTTATACTTTAAATAACTCAACTTCCTATCTAATTGAATTTTAAAACGCTGTATACGATTAACTGATTTTGGCACAATAGTGATACATTTCTTGGTTACATTTTTATTTGGATGTGGAAAAGTAATCAACTGACCACAATGATCACTATCTAGTTGATTAACGATTCTTTTTTTATGTGGTATTATATCCGTATAAATATTGTCAATACAAGTGGCCGAAGTGGCCGTTATTCTAGTAGGCTCCATGAACAAGTTTTCCAGATTATATGATTGAAATAGATTTCTTAATTTAATACTCAAACTAGAGGTTTCTAATAGATTAATATTAAAGTCACCACAAACAATTAATTGTTTACCAGTGATGACAATTTTTTTTAAAGCTTCATCCATAATTTCTTCAAAACAATCATACAATGCTGAAGGAGGTTTGTATACACTCAGTACAATAAGCCGGTCCAGTTCCACACAGGCGATTTCTATTGTTCGCTCAACCGAGAGGCTCACAATATCTTTACGTTCCTTAAATTTAAGTGTATTATTTAATAAAATTAAAGAGCCACCGCGAATTGCATTTTCTCGACTGAACGAACTACCAACCTGATGATTATTAAAATTAAACATGAATTGATGACTTTTAAGCCAATGTTCTGTGATACAAAATATATCTATATTGTTACAATTCATAAATAATTCAATTTCTAAGTCCTTACCCATCATTCCTTGAATATTTATATGCATCAGGTTGATAAAGTTTACATTGATTTTTAAGTTTTTGGATGGATTTTTTTTGGTTAAATTAATATTTTTATGAGAGTTATAACAATTATTATTTATTAATATGCAAGAGGAATTGTCTTTTGTCTCATTATTTAATTTAAACAATAATTATTATTTACTAATTTGTCAGTAGAAGAGCTACTGACTGTCAAGTTATTAATAGAACATTGCTCAATAAAAGCAATTTGTTTAGCCAAGTTTTTGGCTGTTATATAAAAATAATATGATAGCGACTTAGCTATCTGTCTTTTACAATAATTAGAAAGATAATATTTATCTTTGGTCAAATATAAATTCCTAACATAATTGTTAGTGTCAATAACATGAAATTTTTCACTTTTACACATTGTGAATAAAAGCATATTTAATTTATATCTTAATAAATTTTCCTCCTTTGGCAGACTCCTACAATAGGGCAATGTAAACAATATAATTTTTTCAACATTTAAAGAACTCAATTCATTAACATATTGGATCAATGATTTTTTGTTCACATTGCCTCTATTTCCAACAAAAAATAACAGAGTAGCGCATTTATTGTAATTTTGTTTGGTTGCCTTTCCTAAAATATCCCCATATGAAACATTAGGCATACAGTGATTGATAACTGAATGTCCCATTTTAGACAAAAGAGGGCCCATGCCCTTGCCAATTTCATCACTAAATAATATGATGTTTTTATAATTATTATCTAAAACTAAGTCTGAGTGAATTGTTTTCACTGTGGTCAAACATTTATTTGATGGCGGCTGTGGGGAATTAACAATAACACATTGTGATATGGAGGAATCACAATTGGCAGGTGACTGAGCTGTGAACTGTTTACAATCACATGTGTGATTGTTAGTTAAGGAATGAAATCTCTCATTGTTATAATTACATAATTCAACCAACTCATTCATTGCCTTCATGTGTTCCTTTATTTCTTTTTGTGACAATTCATATTTTTTTGTAACACTTAAGAGACACTCTTGTAATTGTTCAATTTTACTTTGTAATATTTGTGTGTCTTTTTTATATCTTAAGCTAATGTTGTCATATTTTGCAGAATATATATCCAATGTATCAATTAATTGCAATCTCTCCTTGTTAAATTTTACATTTTTCATAAAGAACTTTTGTTTTTTTACAAGTTTTTGAGTTTTCTTTATGTATTTATTAATTTTTATGTATTTCTTTAATTTGTTTCCTTTACATCCAATAACCCCCAGTGTATTCTTACTGCTTTTAGTATCATCATGTGTGAGGTCTATTGTAACAGTGGGCTGGTTATTAATTGTAGTAGAAACCATGTCCGGGGCACAAACCACAAGTTCATCGAAAAGGCTCTGATTCAATGAGGCTGTAATATTTTGTTTTGATGCTTCTAAGAGTGAAATTGTGTGATTGGCATCTTGTAATTCTTTTTCTAAAATATGAATTTTCTGTAATGTTTGCACATATTCATTTCTGCACTGATCAAAGCCATCTACGATGCACTGCAGCCTGTCTCGAGCATCAATGGCATCATTATACTGATTGTGTAGCTCCGCCATTTCACTCTTTAACTTTTGATTCTTACTTAAAACATCTATTAATTCCCTTTCATTGTCATCCCGTTCCTTGTTAAGTTGATCACACAATTCCTTGGATGTTTTAAGTTCTCTCAAAGTCAGCTGGAGTTTAGACTCCTCCTGACGAGACAATGCCTTACGTGTCATCATGTTATAACGAAATTAATAAGTATAAAAAAGTACAAAATTGAAGGAATTGTCTAAGCAAACAGCGCAAGGTTATGTGCGGAATTATTTTCAAAAGTAAGGTAATATTTTATTATTTTATGCTACACTCATAAAGGCACTGCAATAATAAGGTCGTTCGTAATAAAAATTGTTAAACTTACTGCGTCTAAAGAGATAAATTTCTTGAAAACAGATGACAATGACTTACAAAAAAGCCGGTTTTTGTCACAGTTTGTTTTACACTATTTTGCGTTATTTACACTGGTATTTTATATTAAAACACTTTATATTTAATGTTTACTTAATGATGTATTGGTTTAGTACCTTTAATATCTAAGATTAATAAAAATTTAATTAAAAATACTGGGACAATTCAAAATCAGCTGTTTGCGACAGTGTTGCCAGAGGAGGAAAAAGTAATTCCTACATCCATGTGTACTCTTAGTTCCTGCCTTCGACACGACGCTGCTTCTATTTGGGCTCATTTACTGCCTGTTCTTGATCAAGTTATGGAACTAAATCACTTTGTAGATACAATTCATTTCTTATCCGACTCTCCGTCGTCTCAATATAGAAACAAATACATGTTTTATATTATCAGCCAATTGTCGTCTCACCACTCCAGCATAACCAGAATAACCTGGAATTACTCCGAAGCTGGGCACGGAAAGGGTGCCCCTGATGGTATTGGCGCTACCGTAAAAAGACTAGCAGATCAATGGGTTCATTTTGGTTCAGATGTTGGAAATTTTGAACAATTTTACAAAATCATAGAATCAAGATTAGAAAATGTTATAATTAAAAAAGTTTCAGAGGAAGAAATTATTCAAAGGGAGAAATTGATTCCCGAGCAGTTGAAACCCTTCAGAGGCACCCTCTCTGTGCATCAAGTTCTTTGGGACCTTTTTACACCAAAAATTACAATGAGAAGTATGAGTTGCTTTCTATGTGACGTTGGTGAAATTTGCAACCATGGAAAGCATCTAGGGTATATTATCAACAGTAATTATGCCATTAATAAAAACACTATTACTGACGTAACTTCTTATAACATAGTTCCATTGGCAAAAACTAAACGCAAATTTACAAATCAGAACAAAATCAAGCTTATTTCTGATATTCTTATTGATGTCACCAATAAGACTACACATCAGTAATTAATATTTGATACATTTAATGATTCTTTTGAGTTCTTTTTTCTTTGTATTCTGTTACCCATAAATCAATATAAGAATTTATTATTAATACAATACATTTTCTTTTTTCGAAATATTGTGATGCCAGTTTTTTCGAATTATCATAAAATTAAATTGAATCAATAAATGACTTGCATAGTCTATACAGCACGTAACATTCTTGATCTATTATACAAGTTATGCTTCAAAACTTTGCTTGGTATACTTGTATGCAACCTTTTTACTACATCCTCGTGTTCTTGAAGATCAATTATTGCGCTACATTTATTGCATTCAAATATTGTTCTGGTATGTACAAGAAAATGTCATCATGTAAATGATTATTTAATGTGTAACTCCCTCGCTACGTCAAAAACTTGTAAGACATAATTAAGGTGTTGATTAGCAAGATAATGGTATATATTTGATGTATAAGGTTAACTAATTAAGTTTTTGACTGTTCCTTAAGTTATTATTCATTAAGTGAACAGTTGACATAAATGATTATTAAGTAAATAACCAATTAGTTGCTACAGATATAAGTTAATTAATGACTGTGATTTTTAATGATTACCAAAGAATTAATTACCTAAGAAGACTACCTAGAATGATTAAGTTTTTTAGAACCAAATAGTTACTCTAGATCATAGATGTTTTATAATCTCAATTAGTTTTGATTATTTGTTAGTTTTTTATCAAAGTTTGATAAATAAAATTGTTTTAAATGATTAAGTAAGTGTTTATTGTGAAATACCCAAATTGAAACCTTTTAAATCATTTACTGCAACACTGCGTCATTATGTTCCATGCTGATATCATTCTCAGCATACTGTGTCATTTTCCTCAACGTGAATAATTCTAAATTTAAAAATATTGCTTTAAATATGAAAATAAAACAAGTGCCCTTCTTTTTGAAATTAAATTTTATACACATAGATTACATTTAACCTATTAAAAATTCCTTGCATTGAGGTTTATTAAAATAACTAAAATTTTGTTAAAAATAATATATATCAAAGAATGACCCTGCTATTTGATTTCAACCAAGTTTCATTTAACATGCAAATGTCTTTTCAAATGCAAATCATTTTCATTAAGAAAGTTAATTAACAAGGGTTTTTTGTTATTTACACTCTGTATATTAAACTGGGCAATTGTTACATAGGTTTTCTTGTTTTGTATTTCATTATAAGATCTAAAATCCATTAAATTATATTAAAAAATTTAACAAAGTTTCTTTTATTTTTGTAGAAGTAACTGCTTCATTACTGGTAGTATTTGCCAAGGCAACTAAAGATTTAACTAGGGCATTTACAATATTTTCATCATTAATTATACATTGAATGTCAAGTTTTTGCTAAGAACTATTTATTTTTTGTTGTACACTAAGAGAATCAGTATTTTTATTTACACTATTTACATTGTTGTTTACATTATTAACATTATTTTTTCCAACTCTTTTCGTTAACAAAGGGTAGTTTACATCATCTATCTTACTACTTGCTAGTGCAGAGGCAAAAGAACGATTTTGGTTCAGAATTTTATTTCTTTTTTCTTCAATTTTCTTTATTTTTATTGGGCATTCTCGAGAAATGGCAAGGTGGCCACCTCCGCAATTTATGCAAATTATAGTCTCTGACTCACATTCTTTAAAGAGATGAGCACCCGAGCAAGAAGAGCACATCTGAGTGCCACGACATACTTTTTCCGAGTGATTAAACTTGAAGCACTTATAGCATTGAATCAATGGTGGAATGTAAGTATTTACTTGATATCTGAATAAATTTAAGAATACATATTTAGGTAAGTTGGATGTCGAGAATGTGATTGCAACTGTTGTTAATGGCACGAGTTCATTGGATTCCTTTTACATAAATCTTTTAACTGAGATGACATCAGCGTCACAGGTGATATTTTTGTATATTTCTTCATTAGACAAATCAGTGGGAACAAATTTGATGATGCCTACTCTCTCCACTAGATGAGCAGGGATAAACGCACGAAATTTGTGCTTATTCAGAAAGTGCTCGTGCTTTAAAAAACTATTTGCTGCAGCAGCCTTTTGAAAAGTAATGCCTAATTTATAGGCATTCAATCGGAACACACTTGTGATACCTTTTAGGTTATCAGTAAATAATTGGGTTAGTTTAATAGGATTTCTATAGCCTATCATCTCTCTTTCTTTTGATTCTACATAGACCGTATAATCAACGGCACTTTTTTCCAAAAACAGTCGAGTGTAGTTAGTTTTAAAATATACTTTGTACTTATCCTCCGAAGAGTCGACAGTCCTTTTGTATTTTCGCTTACGCTCGCCCTCCTCTCGATCGCTTTGCGACCCCATTTTGCAGATGGGGTTCGCTTCTACGAAAAAATCTATTTACTAGTGTTTTTATCAGTAATTAATTATTAAAAAGAAATAAAATTTTTTAAAGAGAAAATTTTCCGCGCGCCTTATTTGACTTCCCGCCAAAAAGTCCCCCCATCAGTGTTGCCAGTACCTGCGTCGTGTTTCGGACGATTCGAAATCTGAAAAGGGACGATTTTTAGTCAAAAAGGACGGCCTTACAGAAATATTAAACTAAAGGCTGAACTATATTTATCTTACGTGTTGTATTGTGGCGCAATCTGCTTCATACATTTAGTACGGTTAGCACTAAGAACTATACCTGTGTGTCGCGATGTTTCGACAGCGTTCTCACTTTAACCATAATTGTATGAAAGAGATAGCTCTCTGATGTGTTACAACACAACACGACAGGTAAGTGTAGTTCTATCATAATGCGGTTAAATGAAAAAAAAAGCGAGTGTGTTTAGGAACACACGACTGAAGTGAAATTTCTATAGCTCCAATGATCTGAAATTTGATAGAAAAAAACCACCAATCCGCGCTGGGTCCATTATCACACACCAATCCGCACTGGGTCCATTGCCACCGACTAATCCGCGATGTGTCCGTTATCACCCTCCAATCCGCACTGGGTCCATTATCACCAACTCATCCGCGCTGGGTCCATTATCACCCACCAACCCGCACTGGATCCGTTATCATCCACCAATCCGCACTGGGTCTGTTATTATACGCCAATCCATACTGGGTCCGTTATCACCGACCAATCCGCGCTGGGTCCAGTGTCACCCACCAGTCCACACTGGGTCCGCTATCATCCACCAATCCGTGCTGGGTCCATTATCACCCACCAATCCGCACTGGGTCCATTGCCACCGACCAATCCGCGCTGTGTCCGTTATAACCCTCCAATCCGCACTTGATCCATTATCACCAACCCGTCCGCGCTGGGTCCATTATCACCCACCAACCCGCACTGGCTCCGTTATCATCCACCAATCCGCACTGGGTCCGCTATTATACACCAATCCACACTGGGTCCGTTATCACCCACCAATCTGCGCTGGGTCCGTTATCATCCATCAATCCACGCTGGGTCCGTTATCACCTACCAAGCCAAGCACTAGATTTATGTATTTTGTTACAGGTATTGTTCATTGTTTACCGATGAGTCACCGATGACACTAATCGTAACACGAAAAGGGAAGATGCATATATAATATATATGAAAATTTTATGATTAAAATGTTAAAAAAATATAAAAGAAATGCCACTGCAACGTTTTTATTTTACATAATGTTGTTTTTTAACAATTATTACGAATTAAAAATACTTGAAACGGAACGTATTTTAAAACACCAATCAGCGTTTAGTGACGTCACTCCTGTTATGACAACTTCTTTGAGGTTATGGTTGTTAAAGTAAATATTATTTTATGGGAATATTTATTGCGTTTTTTTAACATTTAATAAAAACGGAAGTTGAGTTTATCAAAGCAGACTCCAGGAATTTACCAAGAGTTAGCGTTGACATGGTTATAACATTTTTTGTCCAAAGTGCAGTTTTTAAGTGTAGAAATGAAAGGGACTAAATTACTACGGTATGTAAAAATCGTAGTTGTTAAACTTCGTATTTTATTCAGCGGCTTCTACAAATCTTACGGCGATAATGCAATCGGCTATGTCCAAATTAAAAGAGATGGAGAATTATGTACAGTAAAAGGTCGAGTTCTCCGGAGCATAAAGTACGTAAAGAAGGTTATCGTGTTAAGGTTATTTTAAATGAAACGCAAAGCTTGGTTCAGTCCTGCCAATGTGAAGATTGTGCCACACATTTTAAACTTTATCTAATTTTCGACGTCATTCTCCAACTGTAAAATTAAAAATATGTTATAGACAGGTTTTGTAAGTATTAGGTAGGTTACTAATGCGTTTTTACGTACAAGCAGATTAATTAAGCATATATACAAGTATATTCGCCGACTTACGTCAAAATGATCTTCTCAGCATCAAATAATGGTCTTTGGAGAATAATTGTCATTTTTCTTTGCAGCTTGAAACCACTTTTTTTTCAGTTTTGGGTCAGAAGTTCCAGTCAAAAACAATTTATTTGGGAACTTTGTTGAAGTAGATTGGCACAAAACATGAGTCACATGATGTTGATGGATAGTCCATTTTAAATTTTTCAAAAAAATATTTCGAAAGTCGAAAAAATATGCAAAAGTATGAAAATTTAAAGCCAGCAACGAACAAGTACGACCAGTGACAGACAGCAGTGACGTCATCGCAATCATAGGTTCGTTTTCGCGCGAAAATTTAAATTGTCAATTTAAAACCGCATTTTTTCCGATAAATCACAATGTTTTAATTTTTTAATATATCTGTGGTTTATTCTACATGGAATTCTTTAAAATGAAAACAAAAATAAAAATATTGCATCTTCCCTATTCGCCAGTTTACCCCCCAAGTCAAGGCGTGCCTAAAGAAGTTTCACTTCAAAAACATTTTAACAGAGCCATATTAATTATATTTTTTTGGGCACACAATAAACATAATGAAGATGGTACGGAGGACATAGGTACATCATGGTGGTATGAACGTACCGTACGTACTTACGACTCTACAAAGCAAGC